GTTTTTGGATTTCTTCCTTGATTTGAGGCATTAGGTCCGGGCTCATTCGCCTTGGAGGTTGTTTGTAAGGTTTACAACCTTCTTTAATAGGCAATCGATGCTCTATTAGACTTCTTGTCAAACCAGGCATCTCTGAATAATCCCATGCTAAACAATCAATGTTGTTTCTAATAACTTCGAGCATCATTGTTTGTTGCTCTTTAGACAAATAACCACTTAACCTGATCACTTTTGGAACCAATTCGGTTCCTAAATTAAACTCCAATAATGGGTCTTGTGATGAAGCTGTTGGTTCTGTTTTCTCCAATAAATCAGGCCAACGAAATTGTTCGTCTTCTTGGAGGTGAACATCAAGAATCTCTTTACTATTTTCTGCTTTATGTAATAATTGCTTTAAATAGAACTTATTAATAAGAGAACTACATACTTCTAAGCTTGTATCTTCCATTACAAACAAATTATACGGGAATGGGTGTGGCTTTATCATGAGCCATACAATAAAGGTGTTCTTTTAATAGAACATCGAGTTCTGGCCAGTGACTTTATAACCCTTGATTGGGTATTCCCTGGCCATGTACAACTGAGACATCGGAGCCACCTGACTGGAATAAAACACTGACTCTTCAACTTGTTCTGTTACATCGAATGGATTATCATTCGCTTCCATTTTGAAGACCTGATTTCCTTCCCACAACATTAATTGTTGATGCAGGGTTGAAGGCACACATTGAGAGGCATGAATCCAGTCTCTTCCCAGCAAGAGAGAGTATGTAGTATCTGCGTCCACAATAAAGAAAACAGTGGAGATCTTCTTTGGTCCGACCTCGATTGTGGCAACCATCATGCCTTCAGGCTTAGTCAGCCCCTGTAAAACTTGTCATTTCGAATTCCACAGGAGACAGATCATGAATTCCTTTCCCTAACTTCTTGAGGGTCTTCAATGGCATAACGTTAAAGACTGCTCCATTATCCACGAAAACCTTAGTGATTGGTTTCCCACAAATGTGAGCATTAACATACAGAGGTTTCAAATGAGAGATCGCACCCTCTGGAATAGGAGGAAACACAATCGAAGGTGTTTCCGAATGAGGGTCGGAATCTGAGGTCTTTGCCCCCTCTGTCTCCTCTAATTCACCATCTGCCAAGAATGCCCATAATGGTTCGTCCATAGTTTCATCTACCAGACTCGCCCACGTCGGTTCATCACTCATCTGATTAATCTCTGTCATTCGACAAGGGATTCGTGGTCCCAGACGAGATTTAACAGATCTTGAACTTTCCTCTGTAGTTACCACTTCTTCCTTTGTCTTATCCCGAGATTGAGGTTGAACCGTCAAAGATTCAATACGGAATTCTTCCAGAGATGGATTGATGTTGATTCGTTCACAATGTTGGCATCTAAAACCTTTAATTATTTCATCTGCCACTCCTTTACCTTTCCCCTGTCCCGACGAACTTCTTTTGGTATGGTCGGAAGCGCCTAATCCGTCATTCGGTTGCTTTTCTGACCAGACCCGACTGGACCGACCACCTGGAGACTGAATGGCTACTCCCTGCTCGTGGGTCGTTTGTTCTGTAAAGACCCGAATGGACTGATCTCCTGCCAAGTGGTCGGCTGCTTTTTGTTCGTCGGTTAATTGTTTTGCTGAAGGACCTCTTTTCCCATACTTTGCAGCATACCTGCGTTTGGCATTGCGAATCTGTGTACGATTCATACCCGGGAAACGAGGGTCTATATCAACTGGTAAAGGCTTTTTATTTCGAGCCCAATTGCTCCCGACCGACCCTGTTTTTCTGGTCGGGTGCTCACGTACCAAAACCTTTTCTTTCACCTCCACATTAAAAGAACCATCTGGATGGTCCCACTTTTCAGCAACTGGCTTCTCACAAACTTTGAGCCGTTCTTCTGGTCGGCTGCTGTTTGGCCGACTTCCTTTTTTTGTTTCGGGGCTTGGCTGGTTTCGTTCCCCTTTTTGTCCATCGTTGGCCGAACTTTTCCTTGTTTCCGAACTTGGTTGGATGTCAACCATTGCCGTTGTTACATTCGGAAACGGTTGCTGGTCTACACCTAGAGTGATGTATTTGAGCCGACCTGTCTTGATGGCCTTTTGAATTTCCTTCCTAAAATGAGTACACTGACTTGTAGTGTGTGTGAAAGAATTATGCCACTTACAATATGGTCTCCCTTTGATTTCTTCTTTAGTGGCAAGTCTTTGGCCCTTTGGAATACGGATCTGCCCATCAGTCAGTAGGATATCAAAGATTTCATCAGCTTTCGAACTATCAAAGGTCGGTTGCTCCTTTCCTTCAGATCCTGGTACTGGCTTCAATTTAGGACATACATACGGTTTTCCAGAAAGGATTTCGGCTGCCATCTCTTCTGACTGATTAAAATCAAAGTCACATGTTTCTGTTCCCATACTCGCCATATGTTGGCCTCTATTACGCCTGTTATGCTGATCTTCCTCTCTGAACAAAGACTCTAGACGTCCTGCCTTGGATGCAAGACTTGCCAAGTCCTCAACATCCAGGGCAGTGAGTGCCTTTCTAAAACGAGTATGCATATTCCGGACCACTAAATTGGTCATCTCTTTCTCACTGATTACCGTAGGACATCGTCCCTTCATCAATCGCACCCTTTCTATAAACTGTGAAGCAGTTTCTTCTGGATACTGTCTCAATTCAAGTAAATCAGTTAAAGAAACAACTGGTAAAGGATTAAAGAATCTAGCGTGAAATGCCATCTCCAGTCCTTCCCATGTCTGAATTTGTCCTGGAGGCAAACTTACAAACCACGAAAACGCCGTTCTAGTAAGAGATAAACCAAACAGCTGTAACTTATGAAAAGGGTTATTGCCAACTTCTCCTAATTGTGCTGTGAACCGACCAACATGTTCTATGGTGGAAGATCCGTCCTCCCCTGAGAATGCATGAAAGTCGGGTGGTCGAAAATTCCTTGGGAGAGGGTATTCATTAATGATCCTTTCTGGGAAAGGTCTCTGATATGCAGGGCGGTTAGCCATCTGAGGAGTTAATCCATACTGATCCCTTAATATATGTGCAATCTCGTCAGGATCTACATGAAAGCGTTGATGATCAGGAACATGGAACGGATCCTGCACAGGAATATGAATAGGATCATGTATATATCCTTCAGGCCTGTCCTCCCTTGTATTGCTCGGCTGCATATTGGTAACCCTTGGTCCCAATGGAACATTGTTGGGAAAAGTCAAAGGAGATTTTCCCCTATCCATTCGGTTGGGATTTGTGGCACTTGGGAATGTACTATCCACGAATGATGGCCCTGCGAAATTTGCCTGTGGTCTGGACGGGGACACTCCTGGTGGCGTTTGAGTGGTTTGAAGACTCACCCTTGACAGTGCTTGATCTATCAAATTCTGCATTAGACTCTGTTGCTCACGCAACATGTTCGTTTGTTGCTCACGCAACAGATTCTGCATAACCAAAGTATGCTGGTTGTTCATTTGTTGAACATAAGACCACCAATCAGTTGGTGGTTGTGGGATTTCCCCGGCATTTGGCACAATGGGTGGTGGAACGGATTCTCCCACCGGTGCCGAAGATGATTGCGGTTGTGAACCTGCCATAACCCTTCCGATGATTCGGCCGGATCTAAGACGTATGAAATTATCGCCGGAATTGGAATGAGCAATTTTGTCTTGCTCCCACTGTGGTCGCCAATTTGTTGATGTAATTTTTCAACAAAAATAAAGTAAAATTCAAAGATATAGAAAATATCCTTAAACTTGATTAATTAGTGCCTGAGATTAGGAATCTCTAAACACTGTAACGTACAGAAAATAAACTGGAAAATAAAAGACTGAAATTTAAAGTGGTGATCCCCAAATCTGACTTTGCTTTGTTGAAGTTGATTGAAGATCCCTTGCCAAATGATGATTCAAACCTTTAAATATTCTCTGGGAAACCGTACTGAAAACCGTCACCCGAACGGTTACAACGTCTCCTTCCCAACCGTCCTCCAACCCCTTTCATGCTGACACGTGTCCTCAGCAGACCAAAATTATCCTTATATTTCACTCTTTGAACCGACCACAGACCTTCCGCTCTTTTGGCCCGACTTCGTCCTTCGCCCGACCTGCTTCTTCGCCCGACCTCGCTTGGGCCGACCTCCGCATCAGCCGCCCTCCGTCTTCGACCGAAGACCTCCGCATCTGTCCGTACCTCTTCCTTGCCCGACCTTCCTCTTAACAGACCTCCGCGTCTGCCCGACTTCGGTCTGGATTTGGATCAATTCTTGAGATCTTAACTTTCTTCCTTTTCCCGACCTGAAAGCCTCCCGACCTGCGGACTTCCCGTCCTGATGACTTTCCGTCTTGAGGACCTACCGACCTAAAGACCTTCCGTCCTGATGACTTTCCGTCTTGAGGAACTCCCGACCTGAAGACCTTCCGACTTGAGGTCCTTCCGTCTTGAGGACCTACCGACCTGAGATCCTTCCGACCTGAGGTCTTTCCGCCCTGAGGACCTTCCGTCTTGAGGACCTTCCGTCTTGAGGACCTTCCGTCTTGAGGACCTACCGACCTGAGGACCTACCGACCTGAGATCCTTCCGACCTGAGGTCCTTCCGTTAGAAATAAATCTATTTTCCTTGATTTCCTCACAGTGTCCTTCAGCCAGTTCAATCAACCCTGTTGCCAGGCCCATTCTTCTTTTTACCTTGGGCTTTTAACCTAATTCTAAATTTCGTACGTAACAAAATATATATAAAAAATTTAAGAAAAGAAAAAAAAAAGAAAAACACAAAAATCCAATTAAAAAGAAATACACCGATGATTATTATTATTATTATTATTATTATTGGAAGCAAATATGACCTTAGTCTTTAATATATATTGTACGAATTTTTTTGACCCATTTTTAAATGGTCCGGAAGCTTGTGATTGGGCCGTGGGCCGCTTGGCCAACTTCACTTTTGGCGGGAAGATTTCCCGCCAAAGCTATGGTTATGTAGCGAATAATTCTTATTCGGGTGTGCCCTAATTAGAGGTTTCTTCTCCCTCCGGCGAATCTGTCAACCGCATCGTGCAAGCAATTTGGGGAGGTCTGTAGGGAGCGTTAATGGCAGGGGATGAGGACTCGTCCAGATCCGGTGGTGCGGATGCTGCTGCTGCTGGAAATGGGGGGCCACCGTCTACCCCGGATTCTCCGTCGTCCGTTGGATTCAACACGGACCAGTTGCCATTCAACACCAGCCAGAATTATACTGACGACGAAGACGATGATGAAGCGTCTGTGGATCCTGAGATCATCAGAGACGAACCGGAGGAGGACAACGTTAACGAGGAAGAAGACGACGGGGAGGACCTTTTCAACGACAATTTTATGGAGTCAGTTTTCATTTAATTTGGTGTATTGCTTTTCAATACGAAGATGTTGCTACCAGACTGGCATTTTTTCATAAGCATAGAAGATTGATGGATGATTGTATGGTTTTTGTAGTGATTATCGGAGAATGGGCGAGCAGGATCAGTACGAGGCCGTAGGGCTTGACGATTCAGTCGAGGATGAGAGGGATTTAAGTCAGATTATGGCGGACAGAAGAGCTGCTGAGATCGAACTTGAGAACCGGGAAGCTCGTGCCTCTACCCGCAAGCTTCCTCAGCTTCTTCACGATCAAGGTCTCCTCATTTTTCGAGCTTTTTATTTACCACTGTAGGTCTAATTATGTCTAATACGTCTCTACAGTTTGAATTAAGCAATTTTCTTTGAATTATGGCATACTGATAATTAACGAACAGATTTCCCCAATTTTAGATGTTACTCTGGAATGTTTCAGTAGATGTGTCCATAGGCAAAAAAGTTTCGATCATTATGGGAATGCTGACTAGGATTGTTGAAAACTGTATGATTGCAGACACAGATGATGACAGCGTCAGGCCATCAAAAAGAGTAAGAGCTGACTACAGGCCCCAGGGTACTCCAAATGATACTGATGGAATCCAAAGTTCACCTGGTAGATCACAACAGGGGAACTCTGTTGATGACGCCCCCATGACTGATCAGACAGATGACGATCCTTTTGATGTATGTGTTTCCCTTGGTTTAAACCATTTTTCGCCGGATGTTGGAAACAAATTTTGCGATTCATAGCACGATTAGTGCAATTTATTAGTTTGTTGACAAGCCCTATTATTGTAGGAGGAAGAGAATGATGATGGTGACTATGAGATGTATACAGTTCTTGGAACCCTACGAGAGTGGGTCACCAGGGATGAAGTGAGGCGATTCATTGCCAAGAAATTCAAAAAGTTCTTGCTCACCTATGTGAACCCGAAGAGTGACCATGGGGACTTTGAATATCTAAGACAGATCAACGAAATGGTCTTGTGTAAGAAACTAACTTACACATAATATTTTGACTTGGAACCTTCAGTTTGGTTAGAAGAGTTTGTTCTTTTATAAAGTTGTTATCTTTTTCCTGCAGTTAACAAGTGCAGCCTAGAGATTGATTACAAACAATTCATCTACGTCCACCCGAACATTGCCATCTGGCTTGCAGATGCTCCACATTCTGTACTTGAGGTTATGGAAGAAGTTGTCAACAAGATTGTTTATGATTTGCATCCTAATTACAGGAAAATTCAGCATAAAATCTATGTCCGCATTACCAACCTACCTGTCTATGATCAGATACGCAACATTAGGTATATTTCCCTCAAATTATGCAATGTGATTTTCACATTTTAATGGCATCTGAGATTTGCTTGTAATTATCTGTAGGCAGATACATTTGAACACACTGATTCGAATTGGTGGAGTTGTGACTCGGCGATCTGGAGTCTTTCCGCAGTTGCAGCAAGTTAAATATGATTGTAATAAATGTGGAGCAATTTTGGGGCCATTTTTTCAGAATTCCTACTCAGAAGTGAAAGTTGGTTCTTGTCCAGATTGTCAATCAAGAGGGCCTTTCACTGTTAACATTGAACAGGTGGATAACCACAATTTAGAAAAATATACGCACACACACACACATATGTATACATATATATTAAATGCTTTCGAAATAAGCTGCATTGATTTCTTCTCTTTCGTTGTGGCAGACAATATATAGGAACTATCAGAAACTTACTCTCCAAGAAAGCCCTGGTGTTGTTCCTGCAGGCCGACTTCCTAGATACAAGGAAGTTATACTTTTAAACGATCTCATCGATTGTGCCAGGCCAGGAGAAGAGATTGTATGTATCTGACTACCTTGTTTTTCTGTCATACCTGAATTTTTCATCCTCTGTGTTGATTAATGTAATTTGAAATCCAGGAAGTGACTGGAATATATACCAACAACTTTGACTTGTCTTTGAATACCAAAAATGGATTTCCTGTCTTTGCTACGGTGATAGAAGCCAACTACATCACCAAGAAACAGGACCTGTTTTCTGTTTACAAACTCACCCAAGAGGACAAAGCAGAAATTGAAAAGTTGGCAAAAGACCCTAGAATTGGAGAAAGAGTAAGTTTAACGTGCTAATGCATTGTTACAGAAGATTGGTCTTGTAGATCCACTAGTTTCCTTATGCTATGCTTTGTTATTCAGATTGTCAAATCCATAGCTCCATCAATTTATGGTCATGAAGACATAAAAACTGCGGTAGCTCTAGCTATGTTTGGTGGCCAAGAGAAAAATGTTGAAGGGAAACATCGATTACGTGGTGACATAAATGTACTCCTGCTTGGTGATCCTGGCACAGCCAAATCTCAATTCCTTAAGTAAGATTTATCTTTATTGTATCAGTAGAAGGAATGGTACACTACTAAATAGACTAACCTTGTTGACAACATATTAGGTATGTTGAAAAGACCGGCCAAAGAGCTGTTTACACCACAGGTAAAGGAGCTTCTGCAGTTGGTTTGACAGCAGCAGTTCACAAGGATCCAGTCACCCGGGAGTGGACCCTGGAAGGAGGGGCTCTTGTTCTAGCTGATAGAGGCATATGTCTTATTGATGAGTTTGATAAAATGAATGATCAGGACAGGTATGGTATGGTATCGAAACATCAGCTATGAATACGTGAGTATTTGTTGACATCCTTGCTGCCAACATGATTATTCAGGGTGAGCATTCATGAAGCAATGGAACAGCAGAGTATTAGCATATCTAAAGCTGGGATAGTTACATCTCTCCAGGCTCGTTGTTCTGTAATTGCTGCAGCAAATCCTATTGGAGGAAGGTATGCAAAACTCAAATTAAGCTGATATTTTTTAGTTGGAAATCGGACCTCTGAGTCCTTACATTTTGCATTGCAATTGATAATTTTATTCTCCAGTTCCAGCCTAATTAGACTAAAAGGTTATGCATCAGTTGTCTACAAATTTCATGCTAATCTATTATCTTATACCCTTCCTGCTAATTTCACTCTAATTGTATATTCAAATCTACAGAGATACGTAACATTTTTTTGGTTCAATTGACAAGAATATTAGTTTATACACATGCATTTATTCTTATGAATTTGTCCATCGGTCCATGTTTATCTGTTTCTCAGAGCCCCTCTTATTATCGGTTTGATCTGGCAATATTCGTTGCAGATATGACTCATCCAAGACATTTTCACAGAATGTGGAATTGACGGATCCAATCATTTCCCGATTTGATATCCTCTGTGTAGTCAAGGTTTGCTAATTAATTCTTTACTACTTTAATGATGCTTCTGCTGTCTGAGTTCTAGCAGTTGATAACTAGAGATTATATTATGGCGTGCAGGATGTGGTCGATCCAGTAACTGATGAAATGCTGGCTCAATTTGTAGTAGACAGCCACTTCAAATCACAGCCTAAAGGTGTCAATTTGGACAATAGGCCTGTAAACAGCTCACAGGATGACAATCCAGCTTCTGCAGTACAAACTGATTCTGAGGTCTAGCAGATTTTGAAAGCATTTACCCGAGTTTCCCTTTTTTTGACATAGGAGGATATATGTTCACGTTCTCTGTTGCCGCAGCTTCTGTCAGAATGAATTTATTCGCTTGAGATTGTTCTAGTTTAGATTAACACTTGCAGCATCTTCTGCAGATAATACCTCAAGAGCTGCTAAAGAAGTACATCACCTACGCCAAGATGAATGTGTTTCCACGGTTGCATGATGCAGATTTAGACAAGCTTACACAAGTGTACGCTGAATTGCGAAGAGAATCATCTGTAAGCCTCAAATTTGACACAGCATAGCATAGTTTGTGGATGTGCGCACTATCAACAGTTGTGGTTTTGTTTTTACATTTGCAGCACGGACAAGGGGTTCCGATTGCAGTGAGACACATTGAATCCATGATACGCATGTCGGAAGCCCATGCAAGAATGCACCTGAGACACCATGTTACTCAGGAGGATGTCGACATGGCCATCCGAGTACTGCTGGATTCATTCATCTCAACTCAAAAGTTTGGCGTACAGAAAGCTTTACAGAAGGTAAGATTTTACTCTACTGATCACGGTCTTGCAAGCATTTTGAACACAATTTATTCTCATTGCAGAGCTTCAAGAAATACATGATATTCAAGAAGGATTTCAATGCAATCGTACTGCACCTCCTCCGTATTCTTGTGAAGGAAGCCTTGCACTTGGAAGAAATTGTGACAGGATCCGCAGCTGCAAATCTCCCTTACGTCGATGTAAAGGTGGAGGAGCTCCAAAGCAAGGTATTAATGCCTTTGGTTGCCATCTGTATTGAATACTCAATTTGATATATGTAATACGATACACTGTCGGCCATTGCAGGCACTCGACTACGGGATCAGTGATCTGAAACCGTTCTTCAGCAGCAGCGAGTTTTCCAGCGCCAACTTCGAGTTGGACGAGGCACGTGGCGTTATCAGGCATCGTCTTCCTCGTTGAACAATACGGTTTGGGATTAATTCACACAATTACTACATATATGAAAATGCTGCAATCAATCTAAGCTAAGTTATTTCTTATGCTCAATCTCACTCGCCCTCTTATTGTGATGGATGGATGAGTTGTTGACGAGTGTGGTCTATAGAACAAATGTTCCGTCGCTTATTAAATGTTAATCAATTACCATGACATATTTGCTTAAGAGATTATTATTATTATTATTATCATGTATTTGTTTTATTTTATTTTATTTTATATGTGCTCCGCTCCAGTCGTAGTGTATTGGGTAGGTTGGATGGTATCTTCGGTTTATACATTTATTTGGATTATATTAATATACTACTATAGTGTACTGCAGCTATGCAAATTATTATTTTGGGTCAAAAACGTGGGAAGAAAAAGATAAGAAGGGTATGAAAGCATTTGACCGGATGTAGCAATAAATATAAATAGTAGTAATAGTAGTAGTAGTAGTAGTATTTTTATTAGTATTAGTGGGCAAGAGAGAGAAGGCACGGGCACGGCACGGCACCGCACCGCACCGCACGTGGGAAAGGAATGTGTAAGTTTGAATAGATCCAGAAATGGCTGACTGTGTTTGAGTTTGTGTTTGACTGCTCTTTTGGCATCTTTCCTTGTTGGTATTCCATGTTACATACAGATACAGTATCATTGATAAATACTCCCTTCATTTATAAATTAATATTTTATTTTTTTATCTGGGCATCCAATAATTATTATTTTATTTTTTTACTCTCTATTTATTTACTATTTTTAATATCTACTATACTATTAAGTACAAATTTGTTAATATTTACTTAAAAATTCGTGTAAGGACAATAAAAACTAGATGAAGAGAGTATTATTTTTAATTTTGCCCTACTCACCCATCCTTTACCCTTGCCTGCTTTGCTTTGCTTGCTTGTACCATTTGATTATCTTACCTTTTTCGCTATCACCAAACCACACCACACTAGAATTTTTATTAAATATAACTTTGGGTGAATTGAGTCCTACCTTGTATTTCCATTAATATTTACAAAGAATTTTTATTATTATTATTATTTATTACATACAATTTTATAGTGCTAGTAGAATGATCTATGATAGTTCTTTTGTTTTTTATTAATGAGTAGTATTTTTATCGGAACATTCAATTTATAAGTTATTCATCTAACATATGTATGGTTTTTAGTTATTTTAATTTGGATTAAAAAATTGTTATATTTATATATTATGCACATATGTGGTGGGTAGATTTATTATCAGCTGTACGTTCAAAAAATACCAATTGTAGGTTCTTGTCATTGAAAAGAAAAATAAAAGAATTTTATACAATAAATCAAATGTAAGTTGTTTAATATATTGTTGTTAAATTATAAAAGCATCTTATGCAATTTGTACAATAAAGTAATAGGCTTGAATTTTGATGAAACTTGGATGGGATGGGATGGGAGTGTGTTTAGATATACTTTCCAAACGTTGGAAGTTGGTATGTCTTGAAAATGAAATTGTATAATAATAATAATAATAATAATAATAATAATTTTTTTAGTTTACTATGTTAGAATTAAAAAAACAAATAAGTGTTAATGTGAATATTATAGAGAAATTTTGGTGAAATAAGTTTGAAAACATAAGCAAGGAGAGGGTAGATGAACAAAATTGTGACGATTCTTCACTTCACTGTACAATTAATTAATTCACTGTATAGTTGTTCTTCCTAACTGCCAAAAAAAAAAGTATTGAAATGGTGCAACTACACTACTGTATATATTATGTATGATGAATAGTGTGGTGGATTAATTGCATTGTCATTTGATTTCATTTCATTTCAATGAGGATTTCGTCTTCCTCAAGCTTTTGTGCTGCTGCTGCTGTTGAATGCTCTTCTTCTTCTCTGAAATGGAGTCCAGCGTGGGCTTCCAATGGAAGCGCTGCCCTACCAGCTGCTCGTACTCTTTCCGCAGCTGCGGCGTCGTGCACACTCGAATCAACCTCCGCGCCTCCGTCTCCTCCTCCTTGAGATGGTGGCGAATCATCTCGTCGGTCACCTTGATTCGCAGGCTCCCCGACGCGGTCTTCTCCACCTCGAACGGCGGCCGAATCGCCAGCGCCGATCGATAGCGGATGAAGGAGGCGAAGGTTAGGGCGGACTGGAAGAAGTTCGCCGGAAGGAGGAAGTAGTAGTGACCTGGCTGGAGGCGGTCGTGGTGAGAAAGCGCCGGCGTTTTCTGGCCGATGTAGAAGCAATCGGAGCGGCACACCATGTGCTTGGGGAACTCCTCCATTAACTCCCTAGCTTTCACCGGACGGTCGTAGATCTCGACTCCGCCGTCCGATTTAATCAGCTTTATCGTCAAGTCGTGCTCGCCTTCCCCCTCCCGCCGGAGATGCACGCAGGACACGCCGCCGTTAAAGCACCGCGGCAATGGACCGGTAATTATCCGATTTATCCTTTTGCTCATTCCCATTTTTAACCTTCTTTCTTTCAACACCACACTCAAATCTCAATTCATCAAAATCAAAATCAAAATCAAAATCCACAAACAACAAAATCAAAATCAAATCAGAGCACTACTTCGAAATTTACTTCTCAAATCCACCACCTGCAAACTGAAATTGAAATAGGTAGAAGAGAAGCTGATATAGAGAGAGAGAGAGAGAGAGAGAGAAAGTAGTCAGTCAATGATATAGAAATGAATGGTAGTTTTTATACGAACAAGTTTCTTCTAACTTCAAAAATAGAGGGCTATGTTACTTTTTTGACTCGCATTCATTAGTAGACCAGACCCGACCCGACCCGACCCTCATCTTACTATAGGGCCCACCCGAAAATGGTTTGTTTTTTAGTTTTTTATTGAATTCCATCGCTCTCCCGCCCGCCCTCAAATACTTTTTATATTTAAAATTTTGACCTGTCTTTTGCTGCCTCTCTTCCAATCACAGACCACTCTGCCTAACTTCTACTCGTACGGTCATGTTTGTTCTATTTTATATTCACTTTTGTATTTCACTGATTCTTATTTAAATTTAATTTGGAAGGTTCTAAAAATTTTTGGACTTTTTGCTTATAATTTTTTTGTTTTATTCTTTTACATATACACGATACAATATAAGGTCATATCGAACTCACAAACTCTATTTATACAATTTTAATTTTTAAAATATAGTTGATACAGTATTCTTACTTCAATTTACAATTCTATTTTTTTTACTTCAAAAAGAATATTATTCAAACATTCTATTTTATATATTATTTTAAATCACCTTTTATATCTACAATTGATATATTTTAAAACAAAAATGAAAAAATAATAAAATAATTAATATAAAAATAATTATATAAAAAAATAGAATACATACAACGCCTTAAAATAGTGTTACAACAAGCATCATTTTTTGTGTCACAATTGGTGCATAGTTGGAGAAAGAACTCCATATATGGGGTGCAACAACAAAAATGCAGCCCCATTGGAGATGCTCTAACAAATTGTTCTAAATTGCTCATATGTGCCACTTAATTTGTTTATTATTTTTATTTTTGTTTGTCTTACATAATTTGTAATTTTTTTTAATACAATTATACATTTTAAAATTTATAATTTATAATTTTTTTTATTTTAATTAAGGGTCCGTTTGGATTAACTTAAAAAATAAGCAGAAGCCAAAACCAAAATCAGTTTGATTTTGTATTTGATGAATCTCTATAAAAACAGCTTTTATAAAAAAAACTGTTTGGTGCTTTTAAATTGTTAAAATTACTCAAAAAGATACTATGCTAATATAATAGTATTTTTCTATAAAATTTTTATAATTTATTTTTAAATTTTATTAATTATATTTAAAGATTTTAAATTATAGTATAAAAAATATTTTTAAAATTTAATTAATATATTTTAAAATTTAAATTTAAGAATAATATATAAATTACAAATAAAATTTATAATCCATTATTAAATTATTTGTATTTTAAAATTTTATAAATTATATTAATAATTTTAGTATAATCAAAAAGTTTATATGCTCCTATTTAAATTTGGTATTTTAATTTTAATTTTAAATTTTAATTAAAATATAATATATAAATTAAAAATAATAATTTAATTTTTATTAAAATATAATATAAATATAAATTAATTGTTTTTATATTATAGTAGTATTATAGTATTATATTATTGTATATATTATTTTATTATTAAGGATAAAATAATAATTTCAAATGAAAAGTGCTTGTGTTTTTTCTAGAAGCAGAAGCCAAAAACTCTTGCCAAAAGTCATTCGAGCGGGACCTAAATTACTTAGGGCTCGTTTGGATTGACTTAAAAAATAAGTAGAAGTCAAAAGCAGAAGTACAAGGAGAAGCCAAAAACAGAAGTACAAATAGAAGCCAAAAGCAGAAGCAGTCAAATTTTTGTGCTTTTAAAGTGTTAAAATTATTCAAAAGGACACAATATTAATATAATAGTATCTTTCTATAAAACTTTTATAATTTACTTTTAAATTTTATTAATTATATTTAAAGATTTTAAATTATAGTATAAAAAATATATTTTTAAAATTTAGTGTTATATATTTTAAAATTTGAATTTAAAAATAATATATAAATTACAAATAAAATTTACAATTCAATATTAAATTATTTGTATTTTAAAATTTTATAAATTATATTAATAATTTTAGTATAATTAAACAAATTTATATATTCCTATTTAAATTTGGCATTTTAATTATAATTTTAAATTTTTTAATTAAAGTATAACATATAAATTAAAAATAATAATTTAATTTTTTTTAAATATAATATATATAAATTTTCATATTACAAATATAAATTAATTATTTTTATAGTATAGTAGTATTATATTATATTATTGTATTTATTATTATTATTTAGGATAAAACAGTAATTTCAAATGAAAAATGTTTCTGCTTGCTTCAAAAGCTGTTGTCAAGGTGCTTCTGAAAAAATCACTTTTCAACCTCAAAAGTTGCTTCTATTTTTGGACAGAATTCAATGCAAACAAATAGAAAATGTTTTTTCTAGAAGTATTATTAAATCATAATTATTTTTACTAAAATATTTTTTAATTATTCACTAATTACATAATAATTAAAATTTTGTGTCGTTAGCCGAGACTGATGGAGTAATAAATATAGTATATAGTTGTAAAATAATTAAACAACGAGAAAAATGTAAATTGTGTTTCTTTAGGGTGTGTTTGTTGGGAGGATTTTGGAATACTTTTACTATTCTTATAAAACTTTTCTTCCAAAAATATCAAATATCAAACACTTATTTTTTATTTTCTATATTATATTTAAAAATTAATTTTACATTCAAAATATCACATAAATACTTATTTATATCATATTATACAACTATTTCAGTTTAATTTTTTTACTATTCAAATTTCAATCTAAAATCCAAAATTTCTAACAAATACACCTTTAGGGGCTGTTTGGTTCATGGAATTTTTTTGTGGGATTGGAATTTCACAGTAGGATTTATATGTGATAGGATTTATTATATTTAGGATTTGAAATCCTATCATATGTTTGGTTGGTAAAATTACGTGGAATTTATATTTCTCACGTCTTGTTTATTTTTTTATATGAGTAGAAGGATTTGGATTTTTTATATTCTAAATGACATAATTGTCCCCCTATGAATTTTATTTATTTTGATAAATTAAACATCTAATTTATAATAAATATAAATTGAAAATGTATTAATAATTTTATAGGGATTACAATAGGTTATCGTAAACTCGAAACCTGACTCGAACCCGACCTATTTATTTGAAGTTGAGTCCAATTATTTGAGTATTAGATCATGATCCGGGTCATATTATGGGTATTCTAATCGGGTCCGAATCGGGTCTAGGGTCTAAGCGGACCATACCCGCACCCAAATTCGATTTATAATATTAATAATATATCGACTATACATATGAAAAAATAATTTCTAACAATATAATTATATTAATTTTTTTTTTAAGTTTAATTTATTTATTATTTTATTATAATATTTTTTCATAAAATACATAAATAATATATATTGGATCGATACATGTGTAATTTTAAATTAAAATTTAAGAATCGTAAAAAGAATTGGATTTGTTAGATCCATCGGATTTTACTGGATATAGTTTTGGCCGGATCTGGTATAATCAGATCCAATTTGGATTTAATATCTAACAATCCTCATTTGTAGGATTTTGGACCATGTTTTTAAATCCCATCATTTTAAATTTCATTATCTTTTTTTGAACCAAACATAGATTTCAGATTTTAAAATCTAAATTCCATGAAATCCTATCAAATCCTTGAAACAAACAGCCCCTTAGTGTTTTTTGTTTAATTTTTTTCTCTGAGGTGTGAAAATTTGTATCAGTAATAAAAAATAATATTTTATATTAAGTTATCAATTTTATCAAAGAATTAAATATTAATATTATATATATTTAGAACCATGTCGGTAAAAAGTATTATTTATATCAACACACCAGCAATTTTAGTTCGATGAGATTTATTATCTTTTAGCATTTCACCGCAAGTGAGTCCATGTCATTTGTACGTGTCATATTCCATGTAGTGATATTTTTGTATCATATGACTTTTTTTTTTTCAGTAAATAAGAATTAGTTATAATTTTATATAAATTTATTTTTACAAATTAAAAATATTTATTTTTTCGGTTTTACATGAAGTATTCAGTATTTTTAATTAGATATGTCCTATATAATTAATTTGTCATTTTATTTTTAAAAAATAATTATTATACACTTTAATCATATTTTATATTTTAATCTAATAATTTTTCTATTCTTGATAAATTATTTAATTATTTTAACTTTAATCTATTATCATTTATATTATACCATAATTATTTTACTCATACAATTTTTAAGTACTTACTAATTATAATATTTCTAAATTATTATATCTACAATAACATAAACACTTTATCATAGATTGAGAGACTAATGAACTACTTGAAACGCCATGGTGAATTATATAAAATTATTTATAAAAATTTATTTTTATTATTATAATTTAAAATGTATATATTCTTCGTTCGTTATAATTATGTTATATTTTTAAAATTATTCATTAAATTTATATAAAATTTATTTATAAACAATTTTATTCACTCATAATTTTATTATTTTTTTTCTTATCCAATCATATCTTTATCAATTTTTTAATATTTTTTAGTTTACTTTTTACTATAATACTTTTAGTTTATTTTTCACTTATTTCACTTTTATATTAAAATATCAATATCTTTTAGCATAAATCGTGCTCAAACAAAATAATATAATTAGCCTGGACCAAGTGAATACTATACAATTATCTATATATAATATTTCATCCATCTAGTCAGAAAGTATACCTATTTTTATTTTGGGTTGTCCAATTACAAAATAAATACTTCATTAAATGTCTCATTTTTCTCACAAATACTCATATTTTATCATCACAACCTTACTTTTACACCAAAAAGTGGCTATGATATCGAAACTGGCATTTGAAATCCTATCATCTTTGAGAGCATTAGGTTCATCCTCTGTATCTAGAGCTTTTGGATCCTCTGAAGTGGGTTGTTCATTCGGGGCAGCTTTCTTGTCCGAAATCACTCGTTTTGGCCTCCATTCTTGTCCTACACATTTTTATTTTAATCCCTCTCGTCT